CAACAACCATCTGACCAATAGGCGTGGATTTTTAAAGAATATTTTGGAGCACCCATCTGACCAATAGGAGTGGATTTTTAAAGAATATTTTTTGAGCTCCCATCTGACCAATAGGCGTGGATTTTTAAAGAATATTTCTTGAGCGACCGTCTGACCAATAGGCGTGGATATTTAAAGAATATTTCTTGAGCGACCGTCTGACCAATAGGCGTGGATTTTTAAAGAATATTTCTTGAGTGACCGTCTGATCAATAGGCGTGGATTTTTAAAGAATATTTCTTGAGCGACCGTCTGATCAATAGGCGTGGATTTTTAAAGAATATTTCTTGAGCGACCGTCTGATCAATAGGCGTGGATTTTTAAAGAATATTTCTTGAGCGACAGTCTGACCAATAGGCTTGGATTTTTAAAGAATATTTCTTGAGCGACAGTCTGACCAATAGGCTTGGATTTTTAAAGAATATTTCTTGATCGACCGTCTGACCAATAGGCGTGGATTTTTAAAGAATATTTTTTTTCAACAACCATCTGACCAATAGGCGTGGATTTTTAAAGAATATTTTGGAGCACCCATCTGACCAATAGGCGTGGATTTTTAAAGAATATTTTTTCAACAACCATCTGACCAATAGGCGTGGATTTTTAAAGAATATTTTTTCAACAACCATCTGACCAATAGGCGTGGATTTTTAAAGAATATTTTTTCAACAACCATCTGACCAATAGGCGTGGATTTTTAAAGAATATTTTTTCAACAACCATCTGACCAATAGGCGTGGATTTTTAAAGAATATTTTGGAGCACCCATCTGACCAATAGGCGTGGATTTTTAAAGAATATTTTGGAGCACCCATCTGACCAATAGGCGTGGATTTTTAAAGAATATTTTTTTTTCAACAACCATCTGACCAATAGGCGTGGATTTTTAAAGAATATTTCTTGAGCGACCGTCTGATCAATAGGCGTGGATTTTTAAAGAATATTTCTTGAGCGACCGTCTGATCAATAGGCGTGGATTTTTAAAGAATATTTCTTGAACGACCGTCTGATCAATAGGCGTGGATTTTTAAAGAATATTTCTTGAGCGACAGTCTGACCAATAGGCTTGGATTTTTAAAGAATATTTCTTGAGCGACAGTCTGACCAATAGGCTTGGATTTTTAAAGAATATTTCTTGATCGACCGTCTGACCAATAGGCGTGGATTTTTAAAGAATATTTTTTTTCAACAACCATCTGACCAATAGGCGTGGATTTTTAAAGAATATTTTTTTTCAACAACCATCTGACCAATAGGCGTGGATTTTTAAAGAATATTTTGGAGCACCCATCTGACCAATAGGCGTGGATTTTTAAAGAATATTTTGGAGCACCCATCTGACCAATAGGCGTGGATTTTTAAAGAATATTTTTTCAACAACAATCTGACCAATAGGCGTGGATTTTTAAAGAATATTTTGGAGCACCCATCTGACCAATAGGCGTGGATTTTTAAAGAATATTTTTTTTCAACAACCATCTGACCAATAGGCGTGGATTTTTAAAGAATATTTTGGAGCACCCATCTGACCAATAGGCGTGGATTTTTAAAGAATATTTTTTCAACAACCATCTGACCAATAGGCGTGGATTTTTAAAGAATATTTTGGAGCACCCATCTGACCAATAGGCGTGGATTTTTAAAGAATATTTTTTGAGCTCCCATCTGACCAATAGGCGTGGATATTTAAAGAATATTTCTTGAGCGACCGTCTGACCAATAGGCGTGGATATTTAAAGAATATTTCTAGAGCGACCGTCTGACCAATAGGCGTGGATTTTTAAAGAATATTTCTTGAGTGACCGTCTGATCAATAGGCGTGGATTTTTAAAGAATATTTCTTGAGCGACCGTCTGATCAATAGGCGTGGATTTTTAAAGAATATTTCTTGAGCGACCGTCTGATCAATAGGCGTGGATTTTTAAAGAGTATTTCTTGAGCGACAGTCTGACCAATAGGCTTGGATTTTTAAAGAATATTTCTTGAGCGACAGTCTGACCAATAGGCTTGGATTTTTAAAGAATATTTCTTGATCGACCGTCTGACCAATAGGCGTGGATTTTTAAAGAATATTTTTTTTCAACAACCATCTGACCAATAGGCGTGGATTTTTAAAGAATATTTTGGAGCACCCATTTGACCAATAGGCGTGGATTTTTAAAGAATATTTTTTCAACAAACCATCTGACCAATAGGCGTGGATTTTTAAAGAATATTTTTTCAACAACCATCTGACCAATAGGCGTGGATTTTTAAAGAATATTTTTTCAACAAACCATCTGACCAATAGGCGTGGATTTTTAAAGAATATTTTTTCAACAACCATCTGACCAATAGGCGTGGATTTTTAAAGAATATTTTGGAGCACCCATCTGACCAATAGGCGTGGATTTTTAAAGAATATTTTGGAGCACCCATCTGACCAATAGGCGTGGATTTTTAAAGAATATTTTTTTTCAACAACCATCTGACCAATAGGCGTGGATTTTTAAAGAATATTTCTTGAGCGACCGTCTGATCAATAGGCGTGGATTTTTAAAGAATATTTCTTGAGCGACCGTCTGATCAATAGGCGTGGATTTTTAAAGAATATTTCTTGAACGACCGTCTGATCAATAGGCGTGGATTTTTAAAGAATATTTCTTGAGCGACAGTCTGACCAATAGGCTTGGATTTTTAAAGAATATTTCTTGAGCGACAGTCTGACCAATAGGCTTGGATTTTTAAAGAATATTTCTTGATCGACCGTCTGACCAATAGGCGTGGATTTTTAAAGAATATTTTTTTTCAACAACCATCTGACCAATAGGCGTGGATTTTTAAAGAATATTTTTTTTCAACAACCATCTGACCAATAGGCGTGGATTTTTAAAGAATATTTTGGAGCACCCATCTGACCAATAGGCGTGGATTTTTAAAGAATATTTTTTCAACAACAATCTGACCAATAGGCGTGGATTTTTAAAGAATATTTTGGAGCACCCATCTGACCAATAGGCGTGGATTTTTAAAGAATATTTTTTTTCAACAACCATCTGACCAATAGGCGTGGATTTTTAAAGAATATTTTGGAGCACCCATCTGACCAATAGGCGTGGATTTTTAAAGAATATTTTTTCAACAACCATCTGACCAATAGGCGTGGATTTTTAAAGAATATTTTGGAGCACCCATCTGACCAATAGGCGTGGATTTTTAAAGAATATTTTTTGAGCTCCCATCTGACCAATAGGCGTGGATATTTAAAGAATATTTCTTGAGCGACCGTCTGACCAATAGGCGTGGATATTTAAAGAATATTTCTAGAGCGACCGTCTGACCAATAGGCGTGGATTTTTAAAGAATATTTCTTGAGTGACCGTCTGATCAATAGGCGTGGATTTTTAAAGAATATTTCTTGAGCGACCGTCTGATCAATAGGCGTGGATTTTTAAAGAATATTTCTTGAGCGACCGTCTGATCAATAGGCGTGGATTTTTAAAGAGTATTTCTTGAGCGACAGTCTGACCAATAGGCTTGGATTTTTAAAGAATATTTCTTGAGCGACAGTCTGACCAATAGGCTTGGATTTTTAAAGAATATTTCTTGATCGACCGTCTGACCAATAGGCGTGGATTTTTAAAGAATATTTTTTTTCAACAACCATCTGACCAATAGGCGTGGATTTTTAAAGAATATTTTGGAGCACCCATTTGACCAATAGGCGTGGATTTTTAAAGAATATTTTTTCAACAACCATCTGACCAATAGGCGTGGATTTTTAAAGAATATTTTTTCAACAAACCATCTGACCAATAGGCGTGGATTTTTAAAGAATATTTTTTCAACAACCATCTGACCAATAGGCGTGGATTTTTAAAGAATATTTTTTCAACAACCATCTGACCAATAGGCGTGGATTTTTAAAGAATATTTTTTCAACAACCATCTGACCAATAGGCGTGGATTTTTAAAGAATATTTTGGAGCACCCATCTGACCAATAGGCGTGGATTTTTAAAGAATATTTTTTTTCAACAACCATCTGACCAATAGGCGTGGATTTTTAAAGAATATTTCTTGAGCGACCGTCTGATCAATAGGCGTGGATTTTTAAAGAATATTTTTATGAGAATCTTCAGATCTATAGGCGTGGATTTTTAAAGAATATTTCTTGAGCGACATCTCACCAATAGGCTTGGATTTTTAAAGAATATTTCTTGAGCGACAGTCTGACCAATAGGCTTGGATTTTTAAAGAATATTTCTTGATCGACCGTCTGACCAATAGGCGTGGATTTTTAAAGAATATTTCTTGAGCGACCGTCTGACCAATAGGCGTGGATTTTTAAAGAATATTTCTTGAGCGACCGTCTGACCAATAGGCGTGGATTTTTAAAGAATATTTCTTGAGCGACCGTCTGACCAATAGGCGTGGATTTTTAAAATATATTTCTTGAGCGACCGTCTGACCAAAAGGCGTGGATTTTTAAAAAATATTTCTTGAGCGACCGTCTGACCAATAGGCGTGGATTTTTAAAGAATACTTTCTGATAAAACTTCGTTAATAAATATGAACTTAATTTCCTCTCATTTCAGATTCTACCTCCGTCTGCCCTCTTCATGAAAAAATTTCCGAAAAACAAACTAATTTGAAAACGAACGAATCTATAAAGTCACACTAATTACAAAAAGTATACCAAACGAAAAGAAAAGAAATTATCATTATCATCGCCGAATTGCGCCATAGTTTAATTGATAGCAACGATAGAAGAAGAATCCACACCAGACACTGTCCATCCATCCAGTCAGCCAGCCGACCATCCATCCATATATCGACATAAAGATTACATCTCACGGACAAGTAAATCACTTTCCGCTTTAGTCAGAGGGTGATATTTGTGACGTTGACGTATCGAATACTTCGGTTGGATCATTCGGATTGATTGAATATTATTGCGTGTCACACGGACGTCGTCATCATCGAAGTGAGTGACGTTTTGATTGTCAAAGATGATTAATATTGCCGGTGTTGTGAGCATTGTGCTCTTCTATTTGCTCATCTTATTTGTGGGTATTTGGGCCGGACGTAAGAAGGAAGCTGGTAATGATTCCGAAGAGGAGGTTATGTTGGCTGGCCGCTCCATTGGCTTGTTTGTTGGTATCTTCACTATGACGGGTAAGTGTTTACAAGTTTGCATGTATGTTGGGGTTTGGATTAGTTATGCACAGTGGGTCTGGTTATATTTGGATTTTTACAGAATGTTTTTAGAGGGATGTTCAGGGCAGTAAGCATGGATTTTTTAAGAATATTTTTAGAGGGATCACAAGGCCTACAGGCGTGGATTTTTAAAGAAAATGTTTACAGGGTCCAACAGAGCCTTAGGCGTTTATTTTTAAAGAAAAATTTTCAGGGTCTAACAGAGCCTTAGGCGTGGATTTTTTAAAGAAAATTTTTACAGGGTCTAACCGAGCCTTAGGCGTGGATTTTTAAAGAAAAATTTTACAGGGTCTAACCGAGCCTTAGGCGTGGATTTTTAAAGAAAAATTTTACAGGGTCTAACAGAGATTTAGGCGCGGATTTTTAAAAAAAAATTTTACAGGGTCTAACAGAACCTTAGGTCTGGACTTTAAAAAAAATACTGGGTCTAACAGAACCTTAGGGCTGGACTTTAAAAAAATACAGGGTCTAACAGAGATTTAGGCGCGGATTTTAAAAACAAATTTTACAGGGTCTAACAAAACCTTACGCGTGGATTTTTAAAGAAATTTTTTACAGGGTCTAACCGAGCCATAGGCGTGGATTTTTTAAAGAAATTTTACAGGGTCTAAACGAGCCTTAGGCGTGGATTTTTTAAAGAAATTTTACAGGGTCTAACCGAGCCTTAGGCGTGGATTTTTTAAAGAAATTTTACAGGGTCTAACCGAGCCTTAGGCGTGGATTTTTTAAAGAAAAATTTTACAGGGTCCAACAGAGCCTTAGGCGTGGATTTTATATAATTTTCTTTTTTCCTTATTCCAGCAACCTGGGTCGGTGGTGGTTACATCAATGGTACTGCCGAAGCTATTTACACCTCCGGCTTGGTATGGTGTCAGGCACCATTTGGCTACGCTTTAAGTCTGGTCTTTGGTAAGTTGATTGGAAAAATATACACAAGGTTTGCTTCACCTTTTCTTTAAATTTGTTTCCATTTTTTCTTTCCTTTCCCCCATAGGTGGCATTTTCTTTGCCAACCCGATGCGTAAACAAGGCTACATTACAATGTTGGACCCGCTGCAAGACTCCTTTGGTGAACGTATGGGTGGTTTGTTATTTTTACCCGCACTCTGCGGTGAAGTGTTTTGGGCTGCTGGCATATTGGCAGCATTGGGCGCCACACTTTCAGTTATCATTGATATGGATCATCGAACATCGGTTATTCTATCTTCGTGCATTGCTATATTTTATACCCTGTTTGGCGGGTTGTATTCTGTGGCGTATACCGATGTTATACAACTATTTTGTATTTTTATTGGCCTATGGATGTGCATACCGTTTGCCTGGGCCAATGACCATGTGAAGAGTTTATCGTCAATGGATGTTGATTGGATTGGTCATGTGGATCCGGATCAACGATGGTTTTATATAGACTATGGGTTGTTGCTGATATTTGGTGGTATACCGTGGCAGGTGAGTTAAAGGATAATAAAATTATTTCTGAAGGATTATTAGGATATTTGTTGAGGGACTATTCGACCAATTAGAGTGGATTATTAAAGAAACTTTCTTCAAGAACCATAAGGTCAATAGGCGTGGATTTTTAAAGAAATTTTCTAGAAGAACCATAAAGTCAATAGGCGGGGATTTTTAAAGAAAATTTCTAGAAGAACCATAAGGCCAATAGGCGTGGGTTTTTAAAGAAAACTTCTAGAAGAACCATAAGGTCAATAGGCGTGGATTTTTAAAAAAAATTTTCTTCATTTTCAGGTATATTTCCAACGTGTATTGTCAAGTAAAACAGCTGGACGAGCCCAAGTATTATCCTATGTTGCAGCGGCTGGTTGTATTTTAATGGCTATCCCACCGGTACTGATTGGCGCTATTGCCAAAGCTACTCGTAAGTAAAAATCAAATTATAACCAATCCACCACGATTTTAAATTTCCGAATATTTCCCCCAGCTTGGAATGAAACAGCATACACTGGACCCTATCCACTAACCGTGCAAGAAACTAGCATGATTTTACCAATGGTCTTACAGTATTTGACTCCCGATTTTGTATCGTTCTTCGGTTTGGGTGCTGTCTCCGCAGCGGTTATGTCTTCGGCCGATTCTTCCGTTTTATCGGCAGCCTCAATGTTTGCCCGCAACGTATACAAACTGATATTCCGACAGAAGGCTTCCGAAATGGAAATTATATGGGTAATGCGTGGAGGTATTATTGTTGTGGGTATAATGGCCACAATCATGGCTCTGACAATACCCTCCATTTATGGTTTATGGTAAGTTGGGAGGCCAATTTTATTCTTCTATAAAAAATAATAATTTATTACCACTTCTTTAGGTCCATGTGTTCCGATCTGGTGTATGTAATTCTATTCCCCCAACTGCTGATGGTTGTCCACTTCAAGAAGCACTGCAACACTTATGGCAGTCTGGCTGCATATCTGATTGCATTGTTCATACGCTTATCGGGTGGCGAATCTTTACTTGGTTTACCAGCCCTCATCCATTATCCGGGCTATGATGCCGAGAATGAAACACAATTGTTCCCCTTCCGCACAATGGCCATGTTGGTTAGTTTAGTGACATTGGTTGTAGTTTCATGGTGGACAAAGTAAGTCAAGGAGAGAGGGGTCCGCATTCCCCAGTGGGAGAGAAATTGAGTGACTAATTGTTATATTTGTTGTTTTTTTATTGCAGAATGATGTTCGAATCGGGTAAACTGCCGCCAAGTTATGATGTTTTCCGTTGTGTAGTTAATATACCTGAAGATGTACAAAGAGTTGGAGAGCCGGCGGAATGTGGAGAACAGGTGAGATTATATTTTTGAGGGACCTATATAATAATATTTTTTGAGCGACCATCTGAACAATAGGCGTGGATTTTTAAAGAATATTTTTTGAGCGACCATCTGAACAATAGGCGTGGATTTTTAAAGAATATTTTTTGAGCAACCATCTGAACAATAGGCGTGGATTTTTAAAGAATATTTTTGGTAGAACCATCTGACCAATAGGCGTGGATTTTTAAAGAATATTTTTGGTAGAACCATCTGACCAATAGGCGTGGATTTTTAAAGAATATTTTTGGTAGAACCATCTGACCAATAGGCGTGGATTTTTAAAGAATATTTTTGGTAGAACCATCTGACCAATAGGCGTGGATTTTTAAAGAATATTTTTGGTAGAACCATCTGACCAATAGGCGTGGATTTTTAAAGAATATTTTTGGTAGAACCATCTGACCAATAGGCGTGGATTTTTAAAGAATATTTTTGGTAGAACCATCTGACCAATAGGCGTGGATTTTTAAAGAATATTTTTGGTAGAACAAAAAGACAAATAGTCGACTATTTTTAAAGAATATTTTTGGTAGTGGACCAATAGGCGTGGATAAAGAATATTTTTGGATTTGACCCGTGGATTTTTAAAGAATAAAGAATATTTTTGGTAGAACCATCTGACCAATAGGCGTGGATTTTTAAAGAATATTTTTGGTAGAACCATCTGACCAATAGGCGTGGATTTTTAAAGAATATTTTTGGTAGAACCATCTGACCAATAGGCGTGGATTTTTAAAGAATATTTTTGGTAGAACCATCTGACCAATAGGCGTGGATTTTTAAAGAATATTTTTGGTAGAACCATCTGACCAATAGGCGTGGATTTTTAAAGAATATTTTTGGTAGAACCATCTGACCAATAGGCGTGGATTTTTAAAGAATATTTTTGGTAGAACCATCTGACCAATAGGCGTGGATTTTTAAAGAATATTTTTGGTAGAACCATCTGACCAATAGGCGTGGATTTTTAAAGAATATTTTTGGTAGAACCATCTGACCAATAGGCGTGGATTTTTAAAGAATATTTTTGGTAGAACCATCTGACCAATAGGCGTGGATTTTTAAAGAATATTTTTGGTAGAACCATCTGACCAATAGGCGTGGATTTTTAAAGAATATTTTTGGTAGAACCATCTGACCAATAGGCGTGGATTTTTAAAGAATATTTTTGGTAGAACCATCTGACCAATAGGCGTGGATTTTTAAAGAATATTTTTGGTAGAACCATCTGACCAATAGGCGTGGATTTTTAAAGAATATTTTTGGTAGAACCATCTGACCAATAGGCGTGGATTTTTAAAGAATATTTTTGGTAGAACCATCTGATTAAAATTTAATTAACATATATCACATTAATTTCTTCCTCAGCTCTCTGTTATGGCCGGTCCCCTGGGTAGATCGTATGGCGCCGCCACAATGGCTGGCAAAGATGAACGTAATGGTCGCATTAATCCCGCCCTTGAAACGGACGATGATCTTCCGGTGGCCGAAGCAAGGCGTCTAAATCAACAAACGGCACAAGAACAGGTACAAAAAATGATCAGCTCTGCTACAGGACAAAATCGAAGAGATTCCTGTAGCAGTGGTGGTGGTGGAGGTGGCGGAGGCGGCTTTGGTGGAGGTATGGCAATGCCAACTGCTGATCAAGACAATACTGCCTTTTAAACAGAAAACAAAAGCAAACCAATTTTAAAACGAACAAAAAAAAAAAAAAAAAATAAAGAAAATCACTCAGAAAATTAGGACACCTTTACGAACAAAATGGCACACAATTGAATTAGAGTGTTGAGAGAAAACAAAAAATACCCATAACGAATTAGAGACAAACTAGAAACGATTAGAAACGCTCACCAAAGAAAAAAACCAAAAGAAACTAAATTAGGATAAATTATAATACACTCAAAGAAAAATGTTAGTAAAAAAAGTCAGCAGTTTACACCTAGGCCACACACTACAAAAAACAAAACAAATGTACACACAAAAAACACTTGGAACTAGATTGGCAATACAGCTGTGGTAAATTAGAGTTACCAACAATAATGCATAAAATACAAACACATACATACATATTTAACATGACAAACAAGACTAGTTACAACAAATGTACATAAATATATATCCTCCCCAAAAAAAGTTAAAAAAAAAAACATGAAACTGATATGCATCATTAAGCAATTCCAAGAAGATAACCCCCTCCCTTTCTTCTTTATCCACACTAAGTTGATGTTTCGGAAAACCCCTGTTTTTAGGTTATGTTAATATTTTTACAAATACTATACCACCTTTATTGAAGATATTAAGGCTTAGGTTTTTTGTTATTCAAAATTTTTGAATATTGTTTTTTTTATTTTAGGAAAGAACAAATATAGGAAAATTATAGCTAAGCGAAAAAAAAAACTAAAAAAACGAAACATTAATTAGCAATGTTTAAAAGATGGCTTATACGAGAATTGTTATAACACTGTTCTGTAAGTGCTCAGGTATTTCATGATAATGTTTGTTAATTATATATACACTTAAATATTTATTATCTGCTATCGAACAAATTACTATGAATTAGTTTATGTTGCAAAAAAGGCTTGCAATGAAAAAAAAAAACAAAAACAGTATTTCACTAACTATAAGCTGTGTTAAATTTACAAGATTTTTTATTATAGCATAATGTGGCTTCTTAGCTTGTTATTTGGATAGAAGTTTGAAAATGTTTTTGATTTGAACAAGAAACACACGGTACATATTCGTCAGTTGAACAAATAAAAAAGTGTCAGTCGGTGTTCCCGACAGATATATACCCCCTATGGTTTGCGGACGTCTTCGGAATTACACACAGATTTTATTATTAGCTTTATACAAGATATATGTTTTTATCAACCAGGTTTGGGATACAATTTTATAAACTATTGAACATTGACCTAATCTAGACTTCGTAAAGATAATGGGTTGTGCAAAGTTTGGTTCATATCGGACATTCCAATCGCCTGATATTGCATTTATATATATTGAAAATTTTAACCATTTGTGGGGAAGGTACCAGAAGGTGTGGACTAATGGGTCCCATCTTCAAACTTGATCCATTCTTGGTAATGATAGTAGGTTGTGCAAGGGTTGGTTCAAATCTGACATTCCAATTTTGATCATTTGTGGGGAAGGTACCAGAAGGAGTGTACCAATGGATCCCATCTTCCTACTTGATCTAGGCTTGGTAAAGATAAAATGTTTTACAAAGTTTCATTGAAATCGGATTGTCCTTTTGTATCTTATTATAAAATTTAATTTTTAGCACGATTTTTACCATCTTGTGAGGGTGGTACCAGAAGGAGTGGATCGATATTCCCCATCTTCGAAATTAAACTAAGTTTGGAAGTAATATTAAGATGTGCTAAGTTTGAATGAAATTGGTTGCAGCCTTCAAGAGTTATCGTGCGCACCAACCAGCCAGACAGACGGACAACGGACGGAGATGTGTAAATCGACTCCAAATATTCCAAAGAAACATGGGGTCTAAACACAATATTTCGATGAGGCACATTTTCATCGTATCAAAATGTATATACCCTTATTATCCATAATACTGAGGGTATAAATATCCATTAAAAAATGTTGAACTGTCAATATCAAAACTTTGATTTGGAAGTTTGGGTAGGGGTACCCGGTTATACCTGGTTCTACAGATCCGATTAATATAAAATGGGTATCATTTATAAAAATACCTTACCAATGAGTGGTGATATGAAGATGTTATCTCAAACCGTTTGGGAGATACAGTCAACCGGTTTTTGGACCCTGATTTTTTTTAAAACACCCTAAAACCCACCCTCACTCCCCAAAAGTCGAACAAGGATCTATTATAGCCCCTCACCAATCCTCACCCAAATGATAGACTACAATTTGCACTTTTCAAAATGATGCTGTATCTGTTGTGGGTCAAAATATATGGCCTTAGAACCCTACAAAGACAAGAAAATTTTTTCACGAAGCCGGTGTTGGTATTTGTCATAGAGAGAAACTCATAAATACCCGGCCGAAGGCCGGCCACCCCAAAAACTATTCTATTTAAAAGGAGATTCTGTCGCGTAGCCGGCCCATTTAATAAAAACGTATTTATTAAAAAATAAAAATATCTTTAAATTTATAATTCAATCTCCATTTCATTGCACTCCACTAAAAGTTTTGCCCTCTCTTCTTCGGCTTTTGGGTTTGTGGTTGCATATAATCTCCACGCATATTTTAAAAATTGTACGAATCTATCCTTTTTGTACATATTGCACCACCTTATAAAAATACATTTTTGGAGATAGTCTTTAAAGAATAACTTTTTGCGACTGTATTCCGGCAAGGACGCTTTCAAGTAACGCCACAGGCTTTCTATGGTATTGATGTGTTAACCTGTTACAGCGTTAACAAAGTTGGAGAAGTGGTTGACTTTGAAGAGGGTGAAAGCCTCAAACGTCAATGTGTCATACGTCTAGGACGAATACACGTTCGAATGAGGTGTAGAAGGGTCTCCCGCGACCGATCTTCAACAGGGACTAAAAAAAATATATTTGATCCGCGCTCGACACCCACTGTCCTTCAACCCAATGTCCTTGGTTGTATTCATCGAATTCCACTATTTTGCTTGGTCCTTCTAAAGGTATACGATCCTGAAAAGAGCTGCATACGACTACCTCCCTACAAAAATTGTTCCAGTCTGTTCCGGATTGTATTCCACTTTTTTCGTTTCCTGTATTATGTAGGCAACAGGTAGATTGTGTCACCACTTATAGCAGAAGGTTAAAATTCGTAATACGGATAGATGGGAGACATTGAAAAAAGTCACTTTCCTGATGGACTGGCTCACCCTGCACGTCCCAGCTCTTTTATGGCCCTTAACATTCTTAAGGAATGGCCTTTGTCGCAATTTAATTTGCACTCTTGGAGCATAATGCCCCACTCAATTAATTTTTTAAAGCATTTTCGGGTAACGGTCCCGTAAAATAGCGATTAAATAAATCAAGCGAATTTATATTGCTTCTTTTTTACTTCTTTGTTTACATCGTCCTTCTTATAATGGTATATACAGCTGTGATCAAAATAATAACAGCGTAATGCATTGAAATATTCCTACTGAAGAAAACTGCTTTCTTCTTTTGAAATCGCGTAATGTTTTTGCATGAAAGAGGCCTGTCTCCGACGGATTTGTGTGGGTGTGGGTTGTCTGAAGACTGGAAGCATATACTGACGGAATGCTGTTACTATGAAGACATTAAAGATTTGTGCAAATGGAAGACCAGCGAGGGATTTCAGTAGGATTTTTTAAGACATTCGGACCATTAATTGTTTACGTAGTGTTGAAGAACAGTTTATGAGAATGATGGTACTAAGTGGAGGTAGTCCTCGTGCGTAGCCCCCTAGCAGGGGGACTTGGTTGCTTACACCGGGTGGCGGTGGGTGATGGTGCTAGGGTTGACGGTGAGTTGGCTGCTGGTTGCTGTTCATCGTGATTCTACGTGTGTTGCGTGGACTGTTTCCTGAATGAATTAGAATTCGATAACACTGTGCAATAAGATTTTCGGTGTAGAAAATTCTGTATAGGGATGAAAGCACCTGGCGAGTATATAACATTAAACCAGATGGTCAAATTCGGAGAGACCAAATTTTTGAGTTGTCTCGAGAACATGTGCTGACATATTTGAAGGATATCGGATGAATTGCTTCCCTTTTCAATTTTAAAAATTAAATTTGTTCATACTAACAATATTTTATATTCAATACATGTTTAAAATATTAATCATAAATATTTCCACCATGTGTTTCTTTTTCATTCGAATCAAAAATATTCGCAATTTTATATCCATTATTTTGCTTTCATTATATTTAAAATTTTTGTTACTAAATGTTTGATGTTAAAATAATTATATAGTCAAAAGAAATTTTGAGTTGTCTCGAGAACATGTGCTGACATATTTGAAGGATATCGGATGAATTGCTTCCCTTTTCAATTTTAAAAATTAAATTTGTTCATACTAACAATATTTTATATTCAATACATGTTTAAAATATTAATCATAAATATTTCCACCATGTGTTTCTTTTTCATTCGAATAAAAATATTCGCAATTTTATATCCATTATTTTGCTTTCATTATATTTAAAATTTTTGTTACTAAATGTTTGATGTTAAAATAATTATATAGTCAAAAGAAAATATTATAAGAAAACAACTACTGAAACAAATACATATCAAAGAAACAAACTATAAACACATTAGACACTATAATATATACAAAACTATATGACATATGTTAAACGAAAGGAAGTTATAAACTATAAAATAAAAATTAAATTAAATCTAAACCAATACATATCAAATGCATTTGTGTATACACAAGTAAAACGATCTAAATATAAAGTATAAGAAAATGTTTATGATTTCAATTTTTAATTTTTTACAGTAAAAATGTTAAAATGGAAAACTAGACATTCTATGAAAAATATGGAACAAGGAAAATTAAAAAAAAATGATAAAACCTTTTAACTAATATTATTTGTTTTCTAATTTTGAAATATAAATTAATGTTAACAAAATTAAAATAATTCTCATTTTAAACATATTTTTCGTATACATCTTTTTAAAACTTATGTAATAAATATATATTAATTTAAATTTTGTATTTATTTTTTAT